AAAAAAAAAAAAAAAAGCTAGAACTTGTAACACCATGTTAGAAATGCCCCTTAAGAGTCCGAGTGGTTATAAACCTCTGCACCCATAGTAACGCTGGCCTCACCGTTCTTGTCTCTGTGTTTTGTGACCGTGCAGCACAGGAACAGGTTTTCTCCAGCTGGCACCTGTGGCCACTGCCCTCATCGCCCTCTCGGGGGACAGCCCTCATACAAAATACAGAGGTAACAGCGCCGTTTCGAGTGTCCTGAGTGCAGTGACCCCAGACAGCCACCCTGTTACTTTCATCACCCACCCACCCCCATCTCTATTTTTGTTCTTTAGCATGACTTAGGCTTTTATTAAAGAAAAATCTTTAGGATTTGGAGAATCTAGACTTTTTCCAGAGGTGTGCTTTCCAGCCACTCATTTCCTGGTTGTTCTTCCCATTTATTTGTTAGAGATTCTCTAAATGGGAAGCTCCTCACATGTCCATTCACCACAGACGCACTGAATTATTGAGGGGTTGAAATGGGGGATGGGTTCTCCTTACTTGTCAAGCTATCCTCGCTTGGGAGGCCTTCAAAATAGCAAGCAAATAATCAAGAAGATAACTTTGCCTCCCCTTTCCCTTCATACCCACGGAGTGTTACTCCACAGCACACACTCTTGAAAGATACATTGCCAATATTCAATTCAAAAATTCCTTTTTTAGATGGAGCTGGAACATAGTCTTCTCAGAAAAGTATCTCAAGAATGGAAGAAAAAAGTATCCAATGTATTCAGCCCTACTATGAAACTAGTTTATAGCTTTCATATGAAAGCTATAGCCCAATTATAGCCCAAGAATATGGGGAGGAGGGAGAGGAAGGGGAAGGGAAGGGTGAGGGAAGGATGAGTGGTGGGAGGGTGATTGGTGGGACCACACCTGTGGTCCATCTTACAAGGGTACATGTGAATCTTTCTAAATGTAGAATATAAATGTCTTAACACAATAACTAAGAAAATTCCATGAAGGCTATGTTCACCAGTTTGGTGAAGATATTTCAAATTATATATAAAACCAGCACACTGTACCCCATAATTGCATTAACGTACACAGCTATGGTTTAATAAAAAAAATTAGAAAAAAAATTAAAATTCCTTTTTAAAAAATTTCAGATTGATATGAAGAGAGAAATGATTAGGTTACATTGTTTGTGTTTATTAGGCAAAGTCCACGTTGTAGCTGAGCCCTTCACCCAGGAGGTGCGCCATGTACCCTACGTTGTGCCCATTTAGTGACAGCACATCAACCTCCCCCCTTTTCCTCCCCCCATTTGAATGTAGTTGTGTTTTCCTCTGTGTGGGAATGCAGTTGTTCATCTGATTTCATGTTAGTGTTGAGTACATTCAATTTAAAATTTCCTTTTCCCTTTACTTGTCTAGCTCTTTTTCAGCTCTATGCAGAAACTAGCAGAGGAGGTTATGATTCTGGGTTACGCATGACTCGAAGGGTTTTCAGAAACCTGCTAACAGACCTACAGCAGGTAAACCCCTGATACTTCAGAATGCTAAGCTTGTTTCAGTTACATTAGCCACATGGATTGTTAAAGAATCTGGTGTTCACAGCGTCAGTTCTACCTTTATGTAGCCCTCCAGGGAACCTCCCTGCTCTATAGCCACTGCTGTCAGCTGCGCAGACCCCGGTCACTTCAGCCTCACCTGTTGCCATTGCCTCCTAACTGGCAGCTCCAGCTCCAGCCTCCCCCTTCCTTAACTCTTCTTCCACACTGCAGCCAGAGACCTCTCCAAACTGCAAACCTGAGCCATAGCTGAAATTTCTTGTTGGCCATTCACATCTAAAGAATAAAGCCTCAACTCCTTAGCACTGCAAGCAAACAAAGCTTTCCTGATTTAACCCAAACCTTCTCCTTTAAAAAAGAAGTAGAATCCCAATTCTTATACAAATATAAAATGAACGTGTGTCCAAAAATATAATTCACGAATTAAATGTAATCACCTACATAGTGCAAGATGTTACTAGTCCAAAGTGTGTGTGTGTGTTGGGGGGAGGCAAAGAATAAATTGATAGATTAGAAATAATCAAGGAAATTTGCAAGTGGATGCAAAATTGGCTTGAGGAAAAGGGAAGATTGTCCCTTCACCTGGACAGAATTGATGTGCATGTCTACAGACAAGAACTATTTGCATTGCTTTCATTTGTCCACCTCTATAGAATTGTAAAATAGCCCAAACAATGATGCATGTTTCTACAGGTTCAGGTTATCATCATTCAAACGATAATTCAGTACTCTCTTTTGCTTATTCTAAAGTGTTTAATTTTTCCCTACACTTTTTGTACCCTTTTCACTTCTGCGTAACCAAAAGCCTTACTGTGTCTGACTCCTGCAGGTCCATTTCCCCACAACACCATTGCCTATCCTTTCTCTTGCTAACACTGCTCATCTGTCAAGATCATTCAAATACTAGTCACCACCTTGCTCAAAGCTTCTTTAACTCCCAGTGCATAACTTTGTTATCGCTTGTGTCAAACTGCCCTAGCTGCTTCCCCACTAGACGGTTTTCTCAAGAGTAGGAATTGAATCGCATTTATCTTTATAACCCAGCGCCTTGAACAGTGCCTGATACTAAAAGCTTCAACAAATGATTAATGAATGTGCAGATGAAATGCAAGATTCAATACTCAAATCGTTATGAGGTCCCTCGTTTCCTGTGTTTCAAGAGAGTGTGAAGTTGATGCTGTTTTTGTCCTTACTAGGCGAAGGAATTTAACCTCCTGAAAGTAAATATGTTTCTCAAATGTTTTGAAAGAATGTAGAGATAAGAAGAAATATCAAAATCTGTAGGCCAGCTGGTATGATTTAGGAAAACCTATCCAAATTACCCTCACTTTGATTTGGTCTCAATATTTTATATTCATATTAATTATAATTAACATTTAACTTAAATTCTAAACACTATTTAAAGTGTTCATTTTTTCTATTTTCAGAATATTACACACATTTTGGTTACACAGTTTGCTTTTGTATATTTTAAGTCAAGGTTACAATTGGGCCTGTCACCCAGCAAGCGTGCAAGGTACCTGTGTGACGTACCCATGAGGTGGGAACCTACCCGTCCCTTCTCCCCCCTTCCCACCCGCTTGAATTTTACTGAATTTTGCTTTCCTATGAGCACAAAAAGTGATGATCAACTAGTTTGATTTAGTGTTGAGTACGTGTGGTGTCTGTTCTTGCCGTACTTCACTTAGGAGAATGGTCTCCAATTCCATTTAGGTTGTTATGAAAGATGCCAGATCACCATTTTTTTTTTTTTTTTTTTTTTGCTGAGTAGTACTCCACTGTATACATACCGCATTTTTTTGATCCATTCATGAATTGATAGGCACTTGAAAAGATGTTAATATTTCTTAAATAGAGCAGTGATTTCTTTTGAACTTAAAATGCTGAAACATCAGACGTCAGTTACTGTCGCACATGGATCCCACCACCAGTTTTCTGCTCAAACCCAGGCATTTCTCAGGGAGCCGCCACAACAGGAGCTGTTCCCCAACAATTCCACATCACACGGCTTGGGATGGCAGGGTGCTCAGGAGGGTGGGGCAACTATCCACTTGTGTATGGAATCAGACCCGTCAAACTAATGTGTTTAGATAGCAGATGTGATGAAAGGAGATGGACTGAGGGGGGATTTTCTTTATCCTGCAGAATTCTCTGTGCTCTCCTTCTGACTGCTTGCTCCAACAGGCCCTAAAAATCTACCCTCTTCCAGGCTCAACTGGGGTCAATGAGCTACCAAACTAGCAGCTCCCATAGCACTTCACCCCCACCCTTCCCACACTCCATGTATTACTGTGCCCCTGAGACTGATTCTCCTGTTGGGAATTGGAGCTTGGCACAGCCCGTTATCATCCCATTGACTTCCATTACAGACTCAGAGATGGATTCCCACAGAAAATTCCAGGCCCTACCACGTGATTCAAATCCTCCCCCAAGTGTCATAATTACTATTTCAAGTGGTGTTCTGCCTGGGCCAGCAAACCATCTAGCCACAGTGCATTCTTCCGAGAACACCTGCAAGAAATTAGTCTAATAGGCAATTTATCAGCAAAATCTTTTATGCACAAATTTACAGGCAAAACTGTGGGTTATTCCTGAAGTGAATTTTCTTTTCACTGGTATCAGAATCATGGTGAGTTGAACGTCTCTTATATACCTCCCTTACTTTATAATTGATGTGAAACTCCTCTCCCCGGCCTCAAGGACATCAAGGTGAATGTTGAATTAACACAAAGGTCTAAGTAAGTAGTCCAGTTAGTTCATCAGCACTCACAGGGCAAAAGATGAGTAATGAGTTATTTTTTCAGACAAAGGCCAAATAACATAGCGAGTAGTTACTTAAATGTGACTGGTGGGGTTATTTCCAATTTTAAGTACAAGCCATCTTGTCACTATTATGCAAATGTTTGTTGACTTCTGCCTGGCTAATTGTCAGCAAAGAGGTTCTAAGTGCCACTTTCCTGATTAGAAGAATGTTTATTCGAGTTGATGGACTCAGCAGGAGGTCTTTGAGATTACTTCTGAGCTTGCCGGCAATGCCTGCTGACAGCTTGTGCTGCAGAAGACATCAGACAGGAAATTAGGACCCGTGACCGAAGGGGAATAAGTGGAAGTGACAGGTACATGTATCTGGGCATATAGATGATGTCAGAGCCAAGTCTCTGGCCGTCTTGGCAGTCACAACAGGTTCTTAGCCCCTTAATTGAACTCCGTATGGTGGCTGTGGTTGGAAGATGGAAACCACTGAGTGAGGGAGTGCAGGCTGAGCTGCTGTTGGAATATGTAAGGCCAGGGTGTGACAAGCTGTGTGAAGGCCCTTCTACAAAGGCGAGGACATCCGAGAGGGAGGAGCTAACTTGCTTTTTTGACCTTGAACAAAATATCTTATCTCAATCCCCCTTCATTTTATAAAAATATTTATTTGGCAAATATAAATTGTTGAAGATGTGCAACGTGATGACTTGACGTATATGAACACTGTAATGACTACACATGGTCACAGTCATTAACACATCTATCACCCACCACTCATAGTCACCATTCAGGGCAGGAGTGTGAGGACACCTAAAAATCTGCTCTTGCATCAAATTTCAAGTTAACAATACAATATCATTAATTTATAGCCACCACTCTGTATATTAGACCCCCAGAACGTATTCATCTTATAACTGAGTTTGTACTGTTGGATTAACACCCCCCCGCTTCCCTCAGCCCCCAGCTCCTGGTTTCCATGAGTTCTACTCTGTTTCTATGGGCTTCAGTTTTTTAGATTCTTCATGTAAAATGAGATCGTGCAGTATTTGTCTTTCTGGGCCTGGGTTATTTCACTTAGCATATGGTCCTCCAAGTTCATCCATGTTGTCACAGATGACAGAATTTCCTTCTTAATAAAAGCTAAGTTGTGTTCTGTTGTGTAAGCATACCACATTTTTTTAATCCATTCACTGGTTGACGGACAGAACCTATTTCCATACCTTGATTATTGTTAATAATGTCACACTGAACATGGGGGTGTAGATATCTCTCCAACATACTAATTTCATTCCCTTCTACTCCTTGCTTTAAACAAGGGTAATGACTGCCCTACCTTAGGGACTGGCATTTGAGAGTGTTTGAAAAGGTTTTCCTCAAAATCCCTCTAAACTTGAAGACAGCATCATTGTGATCTGTATTTTATAGGTGAACAAGGGCAAAGAAATTTAAAATCATTTGGGATCGTAAGAAGGCAGACAGTCCCTTTATCACCCCATTGCCTCTTTCCTCAGCCTCCTCCATTTTCTTATTCCCACTGGTTCATTCATTGTGTCCACCCAGGCATTGCAGAAAACCCACGCATATCTTCTGCTTGCTTGTATTAAGACTTCATCTGGCTTCAGACACCAGTTGGTTACTAGTGACACCATCGCTGTGAGCACCGTCATTCAGGTGTGCTGATTCTGAGGCCACATCTTTCCCCATTTCCTAACAACTGACATGAGGTTGCCTCTTACAGATCCCAACTGTCGTGGGGGAGAGTCGTGCTCTGTGCTCTGTGGAAAGTGCCACCCGCAGCTGTTTCCAAGGGGTGAGTGCCAGGCACATCTTCCTGGAGGTGGGGGCAGACCCACTGGAAGAATTTGGTGATGGATTTAAATTACAGTCCTGTTCCACACAGCCTCTAAGACAACCAAATTTAGCAAGTAGACTTATCTTTGTCTTTTCATACGATAGGCTTCTTCTTCAGTAGAGCTGACAGACGTAGAAAAGAAGATGAAAACACAGAAGGAGACCTGAAACCACATCTCTGTGTGCCCTTGCTCTTCAGGTATTAAGCCCAACAATCAAGGAAGAGAAATTTCTATCTTGGGTGCAGTCTGAACCCCCCATCCTCCTGTGGCTGCCAACCTGCTACCGATTATCAGCCACTGAAATGGTCACTCACCCTGTCCGGTGCAGCGTCTGCAGGACCTTTCCAATCACAGGACTGAGGTACAGTCATCATTAGTACTGTGTGTATGGTCATTCTTCAAGTGGGTCTAAAATTGGAGCTGCCATCTCTCCAAATTATTTTGAGGAGTGATCCTTCTCATACATACATCTGGAGTGCAGATAACATTTTGAACTCAAGGCCAGGCGTGGTGGCTCACTCCTGTAATCCAGCACTCTGGGAGACCCAAGTGGGTGGATTGCCTGAGCTCAGGAGTTTGAGACCAGCCTGAGCAAGAGTGAGACCCCATCCCTAAAAATAGCTTGGCATTGTGGTGGGCACCTGTAGTCCCAGCTACTTGGGAGACTGAGGCAAGAGGTTTGCTTGAGTCCAAGTGTTTGAGGTTGCTATGAGCTGTGATGCCACAAGCACTCTCTTGAGGGCAATGAAGTGAGACTCTGTCTCAAAAACTTTTTTTGAGAACTCAGTAATTTTCTGCGTGAGGCATTCTGGTTGATAATAAATTTTATTTTCTCTTTCTACAATAAATGGAATATTACATTTTTCTATAAGGATTACTACATGTCCTACACTAGGCCAGGTACAGAATCAACTTTACAATTATAAAAAACACAATTTTTCCATTTAAATATTTGTTCAAAATTGTTGTGTATAAAATAAAGAAGATATTACACCTATACTATAGATGACAAAAATTGAGTCTCAAAGAGTTTGAATGACTTTCTCAAGTCACCCAGAATAATAGCAAAGGCAGAGGGTAGGACATGCCATACTTTAAGTTTAGACTCTGTCCCTATCTTCTGAGAATGAGACTAAACTCCTTAGAAATGCCTCTGTGTGAACCCTCTTTCCTCTTAGACATCCAAGGCAATGTATAAGTGTCATCCATACAGACAGCTGACTGACCTGGGCAAGGCTTTTAACCCCTCTGGACCTCAGTTTCTTTTTAAGTAACATGGGCTAGGTAGATCAATAATATCTGAGGCTTCTTTTAGCCCTGACCTTCTGAGTCTATTAAAAGTTGCCTGGATATACTATAATCCAGGCTTTTCTGGCTCTTGGAAAACTCATGCAATAGCTTTGGTTTTAATGAGATCTTTCAAGTCATTTTAGAGAAACAGCCTTCCCAAGTCTGCAGGCAGCAAAAAAAGCACAAAGACTTGACCTTCGAGAGAAAGAAAAAAGGTACAAAGACCATAGATTGTCCCTAATCTAAGATTGAAATTCTAGAAAGAGATGTCCCATTTTTGCTCAGTGATAGTCATATAGGGCTGAGATGAGATTAGGTGAAAATCTGGGCTCTGTGCTGGTAATACATTGGCAACAGACTGATCTCATTACTCAGATGACAATGTTTCTCATATGCTTCCTACACCTGTAGGTAGTTTTGAAGCATAAAGGCACAAATTCAAGGGCAGAGCCAGAATACCATCCTAGCCACATGGGCTGTGGCCATATGATAACGCTGGACAAAGCTGCCAGCACATATGGCTCATCAATAATCTTTATTAAAAGCATCATATTATGTTGTACACTTCACCTAAAAAGCGAGGGTTTTCCCACTTAATGTATGTTAAATAATTTTCAAATCTTTAAAAAAAATTTGCAAGGTCAGGAGAGTTTACTGGTTCTATTTTTCCTTTTGAAGAAACTAAGTTATCCATTCAACTAATGTTCATTGAAAACGTACTATGTACAGCGTCCTCCCAAACAGTGAGCTAAAGTTTCCAAACCAGCTATTAGTACTGCCAGATTGATGGCAGCAGGTGAGTTCAAACTCAAGCCTCGCGCCTTGGTGGTCTGTTCTAGTGGCTAAAATAGCAGGCTGGCAATGCAGATGGCATATGGTGCTTTACTAAATGGTTACTCACTACATACTTGTGTAACTTTGTACAAGTTCCTTAAAATCTCTTTGTTTCCTCATCTGTAAAGAATGATAATAGTAAGAATACCTGAAAGGATTTCCATGGAGATCAACTATGTCTACAAGTGTACACTCCCTGCACATAGAAAGTGCTCAAAATGTTAGCTTCTATTATAGTCAATCCACGGTATCTACTACAGATTAATATCCTGCCTTGGGACTCAGGGTTGAAAGTACAACAGTGAACAGGGTGGCTGAGGATGGGTCTCACCACTTATATGTCCTCCTGCTCTGCCTCTAAATGACTTTGGTCCAGACCATCCAGATCTTCTGTCATCTGGCATCAGTTTTCCAAAGTTTTTTTTCCCCTTTGTTCTTCTGGGTAATTAGCAGGTCTGAGAGAGCTGACATCCTCTAAACCAGTGGATCCCAACCTGTGGGTCGCAACCCACAGGAACTTTATTAAAGCGTCGCGGCATTGGGAAGGTTGAGAACCACTGCTCTAAACCTTCCTCCTCCATCCCTGTCTCCTTTGCCTCACTCCTCCTCCTCTTTCTACCAGGGATTCCCTTTCTTCAATTTCTAGCCCGGGCTTCGATGCACAGCATGAGTCTCTCTTCTTCCATGAAGGCTTTTCAGACCTGACCAGCCTACTGGGATCTCACCCTCTGCCTCTTTTATAGCACCAATTTTCCATTGGCACTTAAGCTCCCATTCCCTAATCTTGTTAGTTACTACCTCAAGCTTCCATGTCACATTCTTGCAGCAAGATAGGAAATTTAAAGAGCATCAGAATCATTTGTAGCATTGGAATTGTATGTATTTTGTGCCTTTTAAGACAGAGGTCGAAGACTCAGATGCTTACAGGGTAAGACATGTCATACACATGAGGGAAGCAGGCCGGGTAGGGCTGGTGACCAGCTCAGAGAGTACGTGTGCAGCCTAAACAGAGTGCAGGTAGTCCCCAGGTTACAAACAGAACAGGTTCTCTAGGTCTGTTCTTAAGTTACATTCGTATGTAATTTGGGATAGGTACATTATTTACCCATTGCCTGTAATAGTCTCCATTCATAAGTGTGAGTTGTACACAAGTTAGATGTTTGCAACTTGGGGACAGCCTGTAGCTGCCACCTTGTCCTCACCAACTGTTGCCTTTGATGAAGACAGTGCCACACATACTGCAGTTAGAGAATTAAAATATCAGAAATAAATGTATAATACCTGATACTTTACAGACAAAAAGCATGATCCCATTCAAATAGCCACAAAGTCATGAGCTGATGACTGCTGTGTCCCGCCAGCCCTCCCTTGATATCACAGTATTTTCCTGAGTGTTATAAAACCCCCCACCTTACCAGAGTACCTCAAGATTCTCTCCGCTTCTTCTAACCACAGGCAGTTTAGGGTTGTGAATGTTAAGAGAAGAAAATCTCCAATGTTGATGTGCCAAAAAATGTGGGTGTTGTGGCCACTGAGCTTTGGGCTGGTGAGGGACTCCCCTCCTCTATTTCTTCCCTATATACAAACTTCTAGAAAAGGCAAAAAAAAAAAATTTTTTTAATTCTTTGCCTATGGGTTAATTTTCCCTAAGGCCATGTAGGAATATAGGACCAATATTATCATAACTTGCAAATTTTTAAGAAAAATTAGAATCAAATTTTATGGAAATCTTGTTTTTTTTTTTTAAGTTGGCAATTACATTTAAAACATTTGAGTGCTTCTTGCAGCTGTACAAACTGTGATCTAAGGGTTTATCCTAAGGGTTATAGCACACAGTACCCTGTGTATTGAAGGCACTTGGTCTTTTAGAGGAATGAATACCTTCTATACCTTAGTTGGTTGAATCAAAACATATGAATATAATGCCATATAAAAATAGGATCAAAAGAAGATTTCTTTGAGTAAATTAACACATCAGAGTCATTTAACATTCCTATAAAGTTTGGGAGAAACTTTGTAATAACTTGATGGCTCAGACATCTTCTTTATGGTTTGGGGGCACTCATTTTCCACCTGGATATTATACTCATATTCTTTGCTAACCTACTAGTAATGACATAAGCCATATTTCTATTTTAATTGGCAGATACCGCTGTCTGAAGTGTCTGAACTTTGACATCTGCCAGGTGTGTTTCTTGTCTGGTCTTCACAGCAAGTCCCACCAGAAATCTCATCCTATAATTGAGCACAGTGTTCAGGTAACATCTAATGCAATATACCTAACGATTCATTAAACAGGTAGCAGGAACTGTTAAACATTAAAAAACCTTCCCTCCAGCGAAACCTCAGATTCTGCTCCTGCCACACAATAAGACAAAAGAAGTGGCAACTCAACCTTAAGTATCTCTCAGTATAAACATGTCCTCTTTATATTGTAGGTTTTCTTTTAGAGAGAGGTCTCACTGTGTTGCCCAGGCTAGACTGAAACCCCTGGGCTCAAGTGATCCTCCCTGCGTTAGCCTCCCAAGTTGCTGAAACTATAGGTGCACCCCACTACATTGTGGGTTTTTATAAAAGGTCTTAGGGATGAGAAAAGACAAAATAGAGTCCAGTAGAAAGTCACTGGTCCTATACCAGGTGCTGGAAAGTATCTGTGAGGAGTTGGAGGGAATGGCATTGCATTGGCAATGGTTATAAATGGAAAAGAAAGTGTTCTGACATGGTAAAAATGATGTAGTCAGACTTCTAATTATTGGTATATTTTTGGAGAAGTTTTCTCTTTTAACAAGTCTTTTCCTGAGTCTTAAATTTTATATTTTCTTAAGGAAAAAACAAAGATCTCACTTTTGACTGAAGAGTATATAACTGAGATTCCACAGTCATCTTTCAGAATCTGTGAAAGAAAATTATGAATACCCAGCAAGTGAATTTGATTCTTCTTAAGAGGAAAGAAAAAATAAAATAGTAAATTTTAAATTTTGCTAATTTTTAAATAAATTAGTAAATTGGAGTGTTTCCCAGAAAGAAGATTTTCTTTTCACCACTAAACTCCTATGCATCAGTTCCTCTGTGCAGATGGCAACTCCCTCAAATACCACAAGAATGAAGGCTGTTGATTAATTACCTTTGCCAAGGATAGTTTTTCCTTGTTCTGTTTTACATGAATGGTCCACAAAAATCAAGTGCTTGGATCCTGTCAGATGATTTCCAGTGGGCATTACTAAACTGTATTGACAGAGATTTCCAAGTTCATGGGCGTAGCTGGGCTATTTCTGTTCAGTCTGGGACTTGTCGGTGTGATAGTGACACCATGTGGTCATTTTGTTATTACACTTTAAATTTTGAGTCCTGAAAATCTTAAATAAAAAAACATCCATCTCATTTCTTCTTTATTTCCTTTTGGTACAGTTCTTAACTTGAGGTGAGTGAATGAAGTTCAGGTGGTCAGTGCATCTGATGAAACTGTATACAGAACTGAATGTCTCAGTGTTTTTCTAGATAAATCTACAAATTAATCACCTGATTCTCAAAGGAATCTACAACCCCAGATGTTTTTATACCCTCTTTTGGCTGGTTACTCGAAGGAAGAGGGCTTATTAATGGAGATGAGGGCATTTAACTTGTGGGTGTATGCTATGTGCATGTCCATACAGAGAGACTGTGAAGAAATTCAGGGAGCAGGAAGTAAGATTATTTTCCTAAAGCCATTTGAGAAATAATTCCAAAAACTCTCATGATGCGCAGTCCACCCGAGTCAGGGTAGAGGACTGTGTGTAGAAGGATCTGAGACATGCTTTCTGTTGGTGGCCCTTCCCGCAGATGTCAGCGAAGGAGAACACAAAACTCCTCCTGAGGTCCCTCAGAAACAACTTGCTCCAGGGGCGCTGGAGGTGGAAAGAAGCTATGAAAAGGCAGTGGCTGCTGGACCAGGTGAATCCGAAGGACAAGGCTGACCACACGAAGGCCAGGTGAGGATCTCTGAGTGACAATCCTACAGAGGGGCAGCCCCTGGGCCCTGGATACTGGGACACTCGGCCAGAACAGAGCACAAGCCGACGTCTCTCTAATGCTGATGATGCAGAGGCAACATGAGGGAGACATTGAGACACTTTTTCCCCCTAGAAAATTTTAAAGTAGAACGACAAGGCAACCGTGCCTTTCAGTGATCCATCCAGTTGTTTAATTTCTACAACTAAAAGCATCAGAAAGACACAGAAGATTTAGAAGATTCTTAATATTAGAAGACAACGTAGACTTTTGTTCTATATTCCTAGTTTTTTTTTTTTGAAACCCTAATTCAGAATTAATACTTCATTTAAAAAGGGAAAAGGAAGACAGCCAGTATCTCACCACTCACAGATGAGTGGTGTTCACCTTGAAGTGTTACTAAAACAGGAATTATATTATAGATACAATATTTCATTCTTCTTTTCACCCACATTAAATGGAGAACATGTCCCGTTTCATTAGTTTCCAAAACATCATTTTTAATAGCTTTACTCTCATCCTTATAAGAAAAGTGCCATAATTCGCAAATAATCCCTTATCACTGAACATTTTATTTTCAGATTTTGCCCCTCAAAATTCTACAGTCAACATCCAAATACATGCATTTTCTGCATATTTTTCCTTTTTTTTCCTTTTTCTTTTCTGCATATTTTTATTATTTTATTAAGACAAACACAAGTAAAGTCATTGAATCAAAAATTATGAATTTTGGGGTGGCGCCTGTGGCTCAAAGGAGTAGGGCACCAGCCCCATATGCCGGAGGTGGTGGGTTCAAACCCAGCCCTGGCCAAAAACTACCAAAAAAAAAAATTATGAATTTTGTTAATCTTCAAAATTCAGAATATCAGATTATGCTTCACCCTGCCACCACCTGGATGTGAAGTCACCTGTAACATACCCAATCACCAACCAAAAAAATGACTTCTTAAAGTCTTCATGACCTTAATTTTTGAAATAACACCTCCTTGCAATTTAAAAAAAGCAGAGAGTAAAGGAAAGAGATGCTATTTCTTTGCCTTTATGATCATCACACTTTTGAGAGGAAAAAAACCCACACCCATTGTATTTGTTTGGATAAAAAATATAGTTGTTCAAATCAGACTAATACTCATTTGTTAATTTCGCAGACATCTATCAGGGAACTCCCATCTCAATTCCAGATTTCTGCGTCTGTGGTCATTTTGTTACTTTACAATTTATAGTAATTTAAATATATCTTTATAGTTCTTTAAAGGAGAAGGAACACAATGAACTCACAATTATATATCATTTATTGTCCCTGCATCCTGTGTACCTATCAGGTTGTTATTAATATGAAATTACCATCAGAGAATTTAGTTATCATCTTGAATATATCTGTGATGTAGCACAAAGAATTTAAATTTAAAAATAAAAACAAAGATATTGGGTGCCAATCCATCATTATTCTTCAAGCCAGTTATTATTGATTGATTGATTGATTGATTGATTTTGCAGGGGGTTTTTTGGCTGGGGCTGGGCTTGAACCCTCCACCTCTGGCATATGGGGCTGGCGCCCTACTCCTTTGAGCCACAGGCACGGCTCCAAGCCAGTTATTTTCACCTCTCACTTGGAGACTAACAACAAAACACACCAATCAATCATTGGATTTGTTGGATACTTGAGATCTTACCTAAATCCCTACAGTCTCACAGTCAGAACCCAAAGGTCCATACTCATCCATACTTTCATTTTGTATTTCTTTTGGCCACAGAAGCCAGACTGATCTTTTATACATCTTTAACATAAACATGATGACATTTTTTACCTACTCGTCTCCCCCAAACTTCCATGCCCTCCTTAAATCTCTCCACTGTCTTCCCATTGTTTTTAAGTGAAAAACGAAAAATTGTACCATGACTTAGGAAGCCCTGCTCATTTGGTTCACCATTATAACCTCTGTGGTTTCCTCTATCCCCCAAATACCTCATTCCGCAGTCCTGATTCTGCCCCCACATAAGACTAAGCCAGAGCTATCCCTCCTTAAGCTCTAAATCGTTAAAAGATTTGTCAGTTTATAACTGCACGTTTATTTGCATAATTATCTGGTTACTGACCTGACTGTCTTCCCATTTGGTTAAAAGCTCTACCAAGGAATCTGGCTACTCTCACTCACTCCAACACCTGGTTCCTATAAGTATTTAACAATTCAATCCATAAGCAATTGTGTAGGTTGTGCCTTCAAAATAGATCCAGACTCTGACTAAGTCTTATTATATCCACTGCGACTGCCCCAGGAAACCTCTTTCTTTTGCACTGTTGCAGCAACCCGTTCACTGGTTTCCCTGCTTCCTCCCTGGTCACCTCAATCTACTCCTGGTGCCACAGGCAGGGTGATCCTTTTCAATTTGGGTCAGATCATGTCACTCCTCGAACCATTGGATGAATTTTCATCTTCAAAGACAGCCAAAGTCCTTCCAGTGGTCTTTAGCCTGGCCCTGTAAACTCTGTTCCCCTCTGGCTCTTAGTCCCCTTTTGTACCTCTCCCTGACCTGTCCTGCTGTAGCCTCACAGCTCTCCTTGATGCTCTTTGAATACACCAGGCGAGCCGCCATCGTGGGCTTGGTGCCGCTGCATCATTTCCCTGCAAGGCTTCAGGCTTCACCTCCTAACGACCCACCAAAGGTCTTTGCTCGAATGTTGTCTCTTCCTGACAACCACTTACCATTTCAGTCCCTGTACCCACTCTGGACCTCCCAGCTATCCTTCTTGCCTATACTTTTCTTCACAGCACTTTGTTACCATCTGATATCTCATCTATTTTATTTATTGTTGTGCCCCCTATTATAAAACGTAAGCTCTTTGAGGGGAGGAATTGTCTACTTTCCAGTTTTCCAGTTGTATTGTTGGACTCTATAACAATATCTGAATGTGATGAATGTTCAATAGATGTTTGTTGAATGACAGACAGACTGGATGAATGAATAAGAAAATGGAAGGATGCATGACAGAGGGATTGGTGGATGGGGTGGATAAGGTGGGCTGTGAACTCTTTTAGAATGTAGCATGAAAGAGAGTCACAGGGAGTGTTGAAACAAGGCAGTAAAGTTTTATTGAGTCTGGAACACAGAGACACAGAAGCCTGTCCTCAACCAACCATGTGTGAGTCTATGGGAAATCACTTCCGTTTACCATAATGCAGTTTCTTTATCTGATAACAGGGATTACCTCTCTTCCTACTCCCAGAGTAGCATTTGTGGAGATAAGACAGACAAAGAAAGAAAACTACTAGGGCTATACAAACTAAAGGTTCTTTAAATATCTGTGTGTTATACTCTGTCTACCCTGAATACCATAGGGTTGTTCTTCAAAATAATATTTTATGGGTCTGCCTCGCCACTTCTCATTCACAAGAGAGACCACTTCCAACCCTCTATGAAGTGCTGTAAGCTTTCTCTTTGGTCTTAAATAAAATTTCTCTTTGTTAAAACCTAAATAATAATATTTTATGTAATAATTTTCAGTTTAGCCTAGATTTTGATGAGTTTGAAAATTCCAATTAGTGGCTTATCTAAGAGGAAAGAATATGGAATGTTAATATTTCACAATGTGATAAGAAGCAAAAATACAGGCCTGGATATCTATAAAGTAGGTGCATTAGCACTGACAGTCCTTTGAGAGACAAATGGCTATTGCCAAGTGATAACACTGAGTTTATTCACCAATTCAGCGAACAATCTGCATGGTAATTAGCTGCTTCTCTTTTGATGTGAATTCACTTACTTTACGTTTAATAGTTCACACTAAGATTCTTTCATTTACAAAAGCAGAATTGGAAGCTAGATGCCACAAGTCGTCAATGTTATTAAGTATGTGGGGAAGTTCTTGCAAATATAATAAAGAAAATTAAAATGCTGAAGGACAGAATCACTTCCATTTGCAGCTAATACAATTGTGATGTCCTAAGAAACTCCAAGTAACTCCAGCAAAAACTGGGAGAATTACTAGGCTTAAAATAGGGATGGAAAATAAAATAAATATGTACAAAATTCTTCACTTACACTAGCAACAACCAGATAACATTTTATTAAAGTCTATCAAAAAATTAAAAATATTTATTAAAGTCTCAGAGTACCTGTAAAAATTATTTTTCAAAGAAAAATTTTAATAAAGCAGATACAAGATCCATGACTGATCACAGAAAACAAGTCCTGAATAAGAGAAGAATCATGTAAATTCCTAAATAAGAAGACAAACTTAAGAACGTGCACACTCCCCAAATTTAAACAATTGCTCTTCATTATTTGCAGATACTATATTTATAAATTTGCCTATTTGCAAAAATTTATTTGTAACCCCCAAATCAATACTCATGGTCCTTTTGCAGTATTTGCAGATGTGAGAAGAGTGGCAAAAATTGGAGTTGCTTGATGCACGTGTGCCCAGCACTGTTAAACTGAGCAGTGCTCAGGCTTTGCCTTTTTATTTTAGCTTTACTGTGGACAAGTGTCCTTCTCATGGTCTATTTTGTGTTGCGTTTTCTGCATTTTTGTGCCTTTTCTTGGTGATTTCACCAAGTGTTCCTAAGTATAAGGCTACGATGTGCCTTACTGAGAAATATGTGTGTTAAGTTTCATTCAGCTGTGTCTTATATAGTGTTATTGACCATGTGTTTGACATTAATGCATCAACAATGTATATTAAATAAGATGCCTTTAAACAGAAACACATATGAAATGAGGTTATACATTGATTGGTTGACAAAAACATGGTGACCAGAGACTTGCAGGACCCCAACCTTGTATTTCCCGTAGGACCAATGGTTTATTATTCTCTAATTCAGTGTTTGTGGTGACTACATAGAACTTAGATACTGTGAATAATGAGGATTGACTGTATTTAAATTAATTGCACTTCCAAATAGCATCACAAGATTTTTTAAAATAGGATAAAATAACTCTGAAGATATGTTGGAAGTGTAATTGAATGAGAATAGTAAAA